GATCACAAATCACAGCAGTCAAACAGAAATGGAAGGTCAAGTTAAATACAATGTATTATGAGATACAGAATGCTAGGTTGTATTTTGGACATTTGACAAATAATCGGTCATCTAGGTATGCAATGCATACACAAAAGTTGCATACTATGAACAGAACATAATACATACTACAGAAACAGTAAGAATAGTATTACATTATTCTATTCTAAACATACCCTCTAGAAAAAGGTAACAACCAAGCAAAAGTTGCATTATCATTGCAAATAATTGTCACATCCATAATGCTGCTTAACTGTATACTGCAAATATACTCTGAATATTCAATATATCCCCCGGCCCTAGTCAGAAATACACAGCGAAAAACAAATATCTGGAGATGCAGTGGTAAACAATTCCAGAGCAGGAGGATAGACCTGCTAGTGCTTGGTGACAGCAAAAAAATACATCTCAAATTAAAAGCCAAGCACACTGCTGGGTCCTCCACATTACTACAACATTTAAATATAAATCTCTACAATATCAGAGGCTATTGTGAGTTACTGGGCAATATCCTGCATAATGGTGAGAGAAGTCCAAACATTGCAATGCTAAGCAGAATTTTTACGGGCAACACAGGGCCATAGGTGTGGTCATATTGTTGAAAGGAAAATTAACATGGCTATTATGGTTGTTACAAGGCCCTTTTCTGGTGAAATCAACACAATACTAAAAGCATTATGTGCAAATGGGATCACAGAATAGTTGGCAAAAGCACAATGCAGCTGAAATACGGCTCATCAATTTTCATGCGAGTAGAAAATAAAAGGCAAATTACTTCCAGATATGTAAGCAAGCTGCTCGCATTTGCATTAAATATTGGGCTGTGAGCGAGGAGTGTGTTTGAGTATGCGAGCAGTTTGCCAGAGGGCAGCCTTATCTTAAACGTGTGCTGTTCCTTCTGCTATACACACACAGAAGACTTTTGCACACTATAATCTACATACAAAAGCTAACAGAGTGGCAAAACTGTCAATGTAATTAATCATTTCCATTGAGAATTTCA